TTAAATCTAACTAAGGATATCTTTAGTTAAATTATACCCTTCAAATTAGAGTGAAAGCAGTCATGACTGGTAAAGATAAAAATCAACCTCAACTATTCAGAGAATTACAATTTTATTTTGGCAGAAAAAGAAGAGTTCCCAGTGAAATAATGACCTAAACTGATACAAGGTAGAACTGATTTAAATTGTGGGTAAACTCACCAAGCTTCAAATCAACAATAATTATTTTTTTCTTATGTTGGTGGTAGAATATGTGGAAACATTCCACTGACCTAAAAATAAAATAATAACAAAACAAAACAAAAAGATTATTGTGTGTTTCCTGGAAAATGCATATTTTGCAAAGATTTCTATAAATACTCTGGCTTCAGTTCTTAGTAAATAATTTTTCCACTTCATAAATGCTGAATTATGATTATCCCCATTTTGGATCTATTACCTCCTTATCTAGAATTTTGTGAATTTCATGAATTATTCTAAAACTTCCTATACTGTTTTATTTGTTTTTTCCATTGCTTCTCCTTTAACTATTTAGTATGTATCTTACTATTGCATATTAACTTGCTTATCTTTTTATTTTTTAATAAATTCTTGGTAAAACTAGCGTGCCCTTTTACAATCTAAGGATAGAGCGTTTAGAGTAAGTTCAGGTCTCCATAATGGTTTTGCTCCTGATAATGTTTTCTCCTGATAATTATTTAACGAAAGGATATATCTCATTGCTAAAATCTAATTCTTAAAGTGAGTATACATTTATTAGTAGGGAATTGAATTTGATATGTATTATGCCAGAAATAGATTCAAGTTTCCTGTAGCATTTAAATGAAATCTTAAAGTGATATAAAAATAAGTGAATTTTTAAAAGCAAATATTTTCTCATATTTAAATATTTTTATTATCCTGATATGCACTCAGTATATTCATTCTGTTCATATATAGTGTCCATATTGAAATATATTTCTCTACTGTATTATGTAGTGTGCTGCATACAATTCAAAAAAAATCTGAAGCGAGTTATATTTTAGTGAAATTTTGTTTGCCATGGAGCACAGAATTCTTTCCCTTTAAAAAAGCAAGTAGTTTGCATGTGCCTGTGCTTAGGCATAACATGAAGAAATAAGAAATTCCATCAAATCAAGATTCACAGTGCAAAAATAAACCTCGCAACAAACTAAACCTGAAGTCAACACAACCAGTAAACTGATGAGATTAATAACTTGGTAATGCATAATTTTTGAAACAAAGAATTAGAAAATATGTAGTTTGGTAATAATAGCCTTAAACACACGCATACATATAGATGCCAACAACACATAAAATGAAAGAGCATATTTTAAAAGTATTTTCAATTGCAGCATTTAGAAGAGCTTTTTTTATATAGGGAGTGACTGTAAATTTTGTTTACATAGAGAAAACCCCGGCCAAGCTCTATTTACTAGTTTGTTTTTTCCTTAGAAGAAAGCTGCTCCCACTCCCAGTGGTCCTGTTGAAATCAGCCTCCTCTAGTTGTTTACATCAAGCCAATATTCTCATTTTTATCAACTATTTTGTAGCTTCTCATACTTACAAATATATCCTGTAGAGCAGCCCACCATGCTCAATTTTATCTCCTCTTCATTACAGTCCTTTTGAAATCAGGTTCTGAAATTTCATGAGACACCCAGCATTTTATTTTTCCCAGCATAAAAGGATTTTACTGTCTCTGTAATTACCTTCTATGGCACTGTGGCCTCTGTACCAATGTTCTGTTTTTATACACAAGCATCTATGCAAAGAGAGGTTTTGTTGAATATGGAAAGTAGTGCTGTGGGATTCCAATGCATTGCTGATAAAGAGGTTTTATCTCCCATTATCAGACCGTCTGAAATGATCAGATAATTGGAAGTAGTAGCTCCATGAAATCTTCAAAACTTTTCTCCAAAATAATTTTTGTCTACTTTAAAAAACAGCTACAGCTTACATTCAAGTCCCTTTTTTAAAAGGCAGAGAATTGAGTACAAATAAGTAGGCACTACTGCAAACACACGTTATCATATTGTTGCAAGCTGTTAAAATTTATTTGGAATAGTGAAATTACTGAGCATTACAACAGCTGAAGAATCGAAAAAGGACTCTTTTCTAGTTAAACCTTTCTGGTTCCTTCAACCGGTCCTCGAAGGCAGTTTTGAACTCTCCAACATTTTCCAGTTTGCTAATATGCCTGTTAAAATCTGGATTGAACACACAATACTTAAAATGAGGTCTAAAGAATACAGAATATGGGGAAATTGTTAATGTCCTTGTCCTGTGTCTAATCCAACTGTGTGTATGTGTGTTTGAGACAGAGAGGGAGGGAGAGAGAGAGAGAGAAACAGAGGGTGGGAGTTGAGAAATATTGGAATAAAATAGCAAAAGAGGTCAGAAGCAGTTGATAGAGCCAGCGCTTCTTAAAATATTTAGGAGTCCAGTAAGGTAGAAGGTTATCTTTATCTTTTCTTCCCCAAATAGTTCATTTGGGGGAGAATCAAGAATGTTTCCCCTTTCTCATGGTTGGGTGCAGGGAGCTGGCAGGAAGATTCTGAAAGGCCTCCCCTGCAAGAGCCTTTTACCTTTTACTCTGGAAGAGTGCCAGTTTCAAAGCCTGCTTAGAAGTCAAACATGAGCATCTTCCTATAGAGTGAAAACTGGGCATCCACAGAGACTGAGCAATAAAGAAGTTGTGGAATGGAGAGAGACAGAGTGAGCAGAATGAGGAGGTGGAAGGTGGTCCTGGAGGGATGCCAGGAGACAGTGTAGATGCTTGTGGCAGATCTCTGGGCATTTTTAGTTTCCCTAAAGAAGGGTAGGGCAAGTTCAGTTAATGGAGTCAGAGCCAGGGAGTCCTTGGAACATAGGCGGATCAGACGGATTCAGAGCTCTCAGGGCAGGTAACATGATCGTTGTGCTTTCTTTTACTTTTTTCACATGGATTTTTTCATTAATTTTTAATTAAAATCATAACAGTATACATTTGTGGGTACAACATGATGATTCGATATGCAATGTGGCATGCTTAAATCAAACTCATTAACATTGCCATCACCTCACTTACTTATTTTTTGTGGTAAGACATTTGTAATTTACTCTTAGTTTTTTTTATTTTTTATTGTTTTACTCTTAGTTATTTTGAAATATACCCCTGCATTGTGCTCATTAGGCAAGATCCCACCCAAGAGATCTCTCCTCCCACCAGTCACCCCCCTTCCTCCTCAATCCTCCCCCTTGCTAGACCAAATTTGTGTTTTATAATTCATATAAATGTGCAAGTGTTTATATAGTGGGTTCATAATAGTATTGAGTACATGGATACTTTTTCTTTTTTCTATTCTTGAGCTACTTTACTAAGAAGAATGTGTTCCAGCTCCATCCAGGTAAACATAAAAGATGTAAAGTCTCCATCTGTTTACAGGTGAACAGTCTTGCATGCTATACATATGCCACAACTTGTTAATGCGTTCATGGGCTGATAGGCATGGGTGTTGTGCTGAGGCAGCTGGGAATGCCCTTTCCTTTCAGAGGCCAGTTCTTTCTGATGGCCCTCTTCATACCCTTCTAGAGCACCTTCACTCTATTCCTGTTTCAGCCAAAATAAATCTGAAGTAACACAAGTTCAAATGTGTACAAAGGATATTCAGTATTTTCGTATGTTTAAAATCCAAAATGGACTTCACAAGAACAGAATATTAGAAATTATGATTTTTAGCCCTTGTCATTTATGTCTTCTGCAAAAGAGGGGGCAATATAACTACCTTGTTAATGGTGGTGGGGTAAGAAATAAGCAGTAAGCCTGCTATTCACAGCGCATCCTATTTATATTATATAGTTTTTGCATTTGTTCAGAGGGTGACACTTTATGATGTATTCTAGAAGCAAGACAAACTCTTAGACATTGGCGAATTCTTCAGTGGAATGTACCTAGTAGGCAGTGGTTTGTGCCATATTTGGAGAAAGATTGAAGTCTGCTCCTGCTTTCCTTGAACTCTGAATCTGGCCCTCCGAGCATCTCCAGTCTGTTTTCTCTGCCTGGGTTTCTTGCCTCTGTGTTGTCTCTACGGAGCATCCTCTGTCTGTCTTTGTAGACTCAGTGACCCCCCTGCTTAGAGCGTGGTCTAAAACTCTGCAGTCCAGACAGTGGACCCATCCTGGTCTTGTCCCCTCTGACTTGCTGCTGACTAGAAACAACTAAACTTTGGCTTCTGGTTTGCGTGAACCTAAAACATAGTAACCACAGAAATTAGAAACAGATTACTGAGTACCCAACACTGTTATCAGCACAAAACGAATATAAATAGCAATTGAAGTTAGTTACCATTTTTGTCTGCATTTATTCAAATGATGTCCTTTAAAGACGCCTTTAATTATAATTGTGGTCCTGCTGTTCTATTAAGTATAGTCACTAACTCCCATTCTTCTTTTCCTCCTGGCAGCTATTCTAAATCAATTCTCTAGGCCTTCCCTGGAAGTCAGTAACATTCCCAGGTTTTGAGTCTCCAGCTTATAATGGAAAAGAATAGTGGTCCTATTTGGGTTTCTATTTTCTCCTAAACACTTAACGATCATCTTGTCCTTCCCGAGTAGCTTCCAGAGCATCAGTTAGACTCTTGTTTCCTCCAGGGTGATTAAGGCAATGTTAACACAGCTGAAGAAGTGATGTTCTTTTCCTGGAAATGGATGTGGCTGTCCACAGTTGTTTAGTTTGCACTCACATTGTGCCTATTTGCATTTCTGTATACTCACGTTGTTTACTCTGTGGAATACTCTAGGCTGAGAGTGCCTCCCTTTGAAGATTTGCTTTGGCTCTGTCGGGCAAGCCAGGTACTTCCAACTTAGGCCTGCTTTGTTATTTTCTTGGCCTGGGGGGTCCTGGACCACACAGGTAAGGTAAATTTAAATTATAGACCTGCTATTATGCTGAAATAGATATTTTTCCTTGTCATCAATCTTTCAGGTGACTAGTTTTTTTCTATCTTCTCTTTCACAGAAGGTGTAGTCATTTGAAGGTCTCTGGCTCAATTTAGGATAAACTTTGATCTCATTTTCTGGCTCTCAAAGGACTCGTAAGAGCCAGATCTCTGGGTAACCGAGATTAGCAAATGTGGAACTCAGCTATACTTTAAGTGGTAGTTTGTGATTCTGGTTTAGGATTCCCTCTAGTTTTTTCTCAGTTTCCTTTACTTTTTTCCAGGTGTGCTTATGTATTTAAATGGGGGATATTTTTTATATTTTTTCCGGCATTTCTAAGTGTGTGGCAGAGAGAAGATCTTTCACGCTATGCCTTGTCTACTATGCTCTATATTTTCTTTTTATGAAATCATGTCCGATACTCATTTTTAGGTGAAACTGACTGCAATGAGATAGCAGAAGAATGGGAACTGGAGCATTTCCTGTTATCACAGATAGAAAGCAGCATTATTTGCTTCTTTACGTGAGGAATGCCTTGACCACACAGGGGCCAACAGATAGGTATTTGCACAGCTCTGGCCAGTCTGTTTCTAATCACCTAATCAACTCACTGTCTTTATTTGTTATATAAGCCTGACCCTTTTTTCCATGCACAAAACATATAAATTTGCTGCTCTAGAAAAGCAGAACAAACATACTTGTGCCATATTCTCTATTCCCCCACTCCCACCCCAGGATAGAGATTAAAATGGTTTTTCTGCAGATCACTATTTAATAACTTGCTGACTTCATCTTGAAACAAATCCCATCATCAGGATAATGGTGAATGAGGATGCATACCCCCATCCCACCCCTTTACAGAAGTGTGTGTGATGTCCAGGGACTCAGGAAATGCATTAGATGGCTAGAGAGTAACTCAGGGGCTGGGGTAATTTGGAAAGAAAAAGACACCTCCATAAGCTGGTAGGTGGGACCTAAAGACTGCAGAGCTCAGGTACCCTGGTGCTTTCTGCCTCCTTTACTCAAGGACTCTCCCACTTATCTCAGGTTTGCTTCACCTGCGTATGTGGACGTAGCTCTGAGACTGGTACAGCAGATGCTCGATAAGTATTTTAAGAATGAATGAACATAGTCCCTTTCTGACAAGACTCATCCCAAACAAAAACTACCCTTGAGTGTTTGTTTTATCTCATTTTCACTTAGATAAAAATTGTGGAGTAGAGTTTGGGAAGGCTTATATTGGATATGTTGTCCCGCGTCTCATAGCTTCCTAAGAGACCGTCCTGCCTCTCTGCTGTAATCTTCTTATAACCTATAATTTGTGTTGTGATTAACAAGCTATGGCTGGAAACACTAAGCTTTTGTAAGTATAATTTACACAAATATATATTTTTATGAGGCATGCAAATTTAAATAATGGAGCCTTTGTGACTGGCAAATAAGGAACTAGAATGAAACACAAATTAAACATCTGTCTTTAGGATCCAGAAATAACATTATGAAACTGGAAAGCTTTAGAAAGACATAATAGTGCAAATGAAATCAGATAAAACAAGTTTAATTTTTTCGGAAAGGCAAATAACTAAAAAAATTTCAATTCCAGAAGCTACAGAAACCTACTCTGATATACTTTCCTCCATAAAAAAATTACATGTCTTCCCCCTCCCCACATTTGAATATTTGGGAAGTTGCTTTAAGAACTTTTAACACTAGTGCAGTAAATAAATGGTTTTTTTGTTTGTTTGTTTCAGATATAAGAATTGTATACATAAGACATTTTTGCATGAAAAAAAGTAATTTTTCCCAAAGAAAATTATATCCAAAGAGAAGTGAAGAGTAA